AGTATTATTATGTCATCAGGCCCATTGCAGGAAGGTTGGTGAAGTGAGGATCTGGGCAACACATTCAAACTGGTTCTGAATCCTCAATGCAGGATAAAGCAGAAATAATTACACAATTATCAGTTATGGTCCATGCTACAAGTTCTACATTTCTAAATTCAGTTTTGTTGTTATGTACTGCCAAGTTGGAACCAACTTGTAACAACCCTAATAGGGTTTTCAAAAATGTTTAATATTTAAAAAAGTGGCTTTAGCACTTCCACACCCCTAGTGAGCTTCCATGACTGAGCAGGTCTTCAAACCCAGGGCTCCTGAGTCTTAGTCTATCACTCAATCCACTGTGGGTATCCAAATTCAGTTTGGTAACCTAAATTAATATCCCTCTACCTTTTGTAATTTTCAGTGTACTTGGAGAAGATCAATGTCAAATGTACACTGAGTGCCTCTATGAAAAATGAAAACATATCCTTGTATAATATAACCATATTCAATGGGGTGGCACATACATACAATATCACATCATGATACCTGCAAATGTACTCAGCATATTCAATCTACCTCTTTTCCTTCCATAGCAGCAAGACACTTTTTTAAAACTGATTTCACTTGTCTAACAAAGCAGGATAATTCCTAGATTTGAAATCTGATGCAAAGCACACAAGGGACATAACGACCACTTAGTCGACTGCTGTGCTTTGATGCATAAAGTCTGTAGCTGAAGGGTATGCAGCTGATGCCTGTCTAGCTTCAGCGTGAAAACCCCAGAAGGAAGAAGGCCACCTCCTCCACTCACATGGTTTCCACTGTCAACCTGAAAAAGACTTTCAGGTTAAAAGTCTCCCAAAACAGAGCCTTATGGCATCTCACCAGATTTACTTCTTTACTTACAGATAAAGTACAGATAAAAACACAAAAAACTTGTAACATTAAAACACAATGAAATGAATTAGAAGATTAAAACATTAGTAAATAAAAAGCACAATAAAGACATTGTAGCACCGACTAAAAGCTCTTTTCTTAAGAACCAGTCCATGACCAACAGCAATTGAAGAAAATGATCCATGCCTACACCCATTCTACTCTCTTTCATAACAAAAGTGTCATGTTAAACAACAGTTTAACAAACGATGTTGAGGAAAGAACATCTGCTGAAATTACCACAAGGGAAGTCTGAACTGTAGTGATAATATGATTATGATTAGCATGGCTAACAGTCCTGTAAGAATCTTTCACCATATTGGCTGCGCTTGTATATAGTGGGAAGCCAACATTTGGGAAAAATGATCATGAGCCATACAATGTGTCAGCTTCTTTGGTTTTGGCATGCTGACATGTTAAAAAGCTAGAAAGATAAACCAAAAACCAAATCAAGATTTATTTCTCTGGTTCTCACTAGCAGAATTCTCAAGAATTCTTGCTTACCAGAATGTGGAAATACATCTTGACACTTTGGATAATCTTACTAAAGGCTAAAGAGAGGAATGAAATTGTAAATGTATTACAAGTATATATATATATAAATAGTGTATACTTGTAATACATTTACAATTTCATTATTAATATATTAATAATTTATAATTTAATTTATAGTTTATTAAAATTTAATTCATAATTAGTTCTTGCAATAGAAGCCAGAGATTCATAGAGATGGGACATATGAGATACTTTTAAAATTGCAATAATGCCTCTAATATGTCAATTATAAATTTGTTATTTAAAATCAACAGTAATTAGATAGCTATTTTGTGGTTATAGTAACTTAGGTCCATATGTACATTTGGCTCTTCCTTTATTATAGGAACAACATGTTCTCCTTTATCAGGATGAAGGAGAACTACTGATATGAACTTAGTATGATGTTTTGTTGATAGTGGCAAAGCAGAAAAGAAACAAAGATCTCTGTGACTTGGACACCATCAGTATATTTTCATGCTCTCATTACTCCTTCCTTGTTTAAACAGTCAAGTTGAAATGTTTTTGCAGAGGAAAATCAGATAAAAATCCTGGAATGGTGGTGGTAATTACAAAATGCTCATTTTAAAATATATATATTTTTATTACCTCTTCTCTAAAATGAGCAGGAGTCAAATGAACCTGCACTCTGTCCTTTAATTAGGATATTCCAGTACCACCGTTTCCTCAAGATGCAATATATGTGATAGGTCATTCAAGCATGGCTCCATGGCCTGAAATTACTGCTAGCACAGAACCCAGATCAGCAAGGTGAACAATTGAACTAAGAGTTCGATGCAATACTCCACTTAAAATGGCCATCATACACACCTGCTTGCACTGGTACAACTTGGTGCTGGGCACTCAGGAATAATCCCCTGAACTACACTTCAGTATGTTGACAGAACTAGATGGATGAGGTCAAGTTGGGGGACAAAACTGTCGTGTGTGTGTGTGTGTGTGTGTGTGCATTTGGTATTGCACACACACACACACACGAGTGAGTGCAATACTATATGCTATTGGAAAGGGAGTCCTGGTGGTGCTGGTGTTTTAGGATAGCAACACAGTTGAGTTCTTTGCAACACCTGTGCCCTTTCCCCAGAAACATTACACTCGCTGCAGACCAACATACTGTGATCATTTGGAGATATGAGATCATTGTGTGATACTGTATGTATGTGCAATCCATATTTTGCAGTGATTTGTTCTCGTTTTTCAAAGAGGCACCCACTTTCCATCATTTGTAGACCTTGGCCTCATTTTCATATTTGGAAACAAGTGGCACAGCACATATACAACTACTGAAAGAACATTTCTATTCGAGTGTGGCACTAACACACTCATTCATATTAATAAATTTGCACTTTTTCAAAAAAGCATCATCGTTCCGTCATTTTTCATTTAATATACAGTGATAGCTTTCAGAAACTGAGCCTCTGGTATTGAACATGTGCACATATCTGAAAATGACTACTTTCTATTAGTAGACAACTGGTTTCAAATTGATGCTCTAATGATATAAAAATTATGATAAAGTGCATGACTGGTCATCAATGCTGCTGCCCTTCTAAGTCATTAGTCATGCTTTTGAAATATGGCTTTGTAGAGGCACAAGTTGGGGTTTCCAATTAGCATCTGCGATAAGATGTTTGGCAATATTTATCACAAGGCTCTGTAGCATTGGCAGGCTGCAAGTGCTGGGGCTGCATCGTCAAGGCCAACAGCCTACATATCAGCCATGCACCCTTTGCCGTCTGAGAGGGCAGGATGCACCTGTGCCTCCCTCTCCTTCCTCATTGTTATGAGCTGGGACATCAAATTCCCCTTCTGCCCTGGCTTGTGCACTGTGAGCACTCATCTTCCACTTCTGAAGACAACCGGATGAGGCATGTCAGCCCCTTCTATATCATACCACATCTCCATGCCTTGCATTGAGGAACTGCATCCGTGTTATTGCATTGTGGTGAAGTGGAAGGAGTTGAAGGACAATGCATCAGAGTGAAGATTTATACACTTATTTCAGAACTGAAGCAGTGACACCATCAGATGAAGTCCCATATTAACTTTTGGGGTCTCTAATTTGAGAAGGCAACACAATGCTATGGTTTTGCTACAAATTAACAGAGAGGAAATCAGGGAATTACTCAAGCAGAGGCAAGGTACTGTACTTCTTGGACGGAGGAGCTCTTGCTTCATGCTAGAAGTTGGAGTGATAACACTTCTTCGTAAAATAATTTTCAATTCTAATTAAAAGCTAAAGCTGGGTGAAAGTCCCTTATTAAAGGTCAGTGGTCAGAATACTACTGTACTATCCTCACTGTGAACAGAAGTGAAATCTAGAAAGCCACAGAAACTACTTGACACTGCCAGGCAAGCAAGCCAGTGGGTGCATGACTAGAAATCTGCCCTCTAGGCAACAAGTACCTTGTCAATTAGTCCCGGTGGCATCTTCCTCATGTGATAAGAAGAAATAGGATTCTGGCCAAAGTGTTCATGATGTGTTCTTACACAGTCAGCACTGTCAGATTCAATGGAGATACCCTCCCCTCCCCCGTAACTATGCATAGAATTCCAGTCAAGTTAATCCTTAAAGAACGGTGGGGATTATGCTCTGCACTACACCCTCATGTAAGCATGGTGAGCTACTGAAACAGGAAGAATACCATTCCACTGCTGCTCTTGTACCATTCTAGGCAGTTGGGCTGCTTTTAGTTTCTTAACATACTGCAAAGAGTAGGGCCTCTGTCTGCACAGGAGCAATGCTTCCTCAGATACAAGGTGGCTTGCTTGTTTGACATCACCAGCCTTTGGTAAGGGAAGTCAACAGCATAGGGCATAGAGGAAAATGTATTTTGCATTCAGCTCATGGAACCATATTTGAGCACATGGCTACTCACTTCCACCACCACCACATTTCCAACCTGACTGTTATAAAAGTTGGCTAGATAGCTCAATGGCTTAGGTATCTGGTTGGGAGTTCAATTCTCCACTGTGCCTCCAGGGAGCAGAGACAGCCTGTGTGCCCTTGGGCAAGCGGTACAGTCCCAGGGGGCTCCCAGAGGAAGGGAATGGTAAACTCCTGGGTACCTCAATAGCACTTCTGAGTATTCCCTACCAGGGAAACCCTAAAAAGGGTTGCTATATGTCAAAACTGACTTGACAGCACACGCTTATTATTACTATTATTAAATGTACAATTCTTTTTTTAGGTGAAGACTATGCATTCTACTGAACAGTTTCTTTCTCAGAATCCGAAAGAAAAAAACGACATGTGTGTGCATACACACCAAGTGTGTGGCAAAATGATTCAGTTACTCACATTTCCTAGGATTGTGTACAACGTCAATAACACAGCTTGTGTTTCCAACATATGTACTGCAATACTATTGCAGAAATCTCTGTATTCACTCTGTTTTTTTATTCACTGCCCCAATAGATGCATCACAAAGCATATACCTAAGCTCACACACAGTTGATATATACAATTGCTTTATTTTGTAAATCTGTTTTCATATAATGATGGAAGAGACTCTCTACAAATGTACCTTGAAGGATATTTCAGTTGTCATGGTGAATCCATGCGTAATGACTGGCTCTTCTTCAGCTGTTCGGCCTTTCCAGCAGTCCAGCTCAACACAGCGGCAGCCAGACAAAAGCACTTGGCGATACATCTCTACGGAAGAGTTACCAGCCAGCTGCCCAGCTGCAACGACACAACAAGGGTGGGTGAAACAAGGGAACCCATTATTGGGCTATTGGACTAAATACAAACAATAGAAGAATAATGAAGGCTTGCATTGTCCATTTTCCACAGTAGTTAGAAACAAGATGATCAGTTCCCTCTAGACCTATAAAACCTAATGAATGTCATGTCCCAGTCAATATTATTTTGCTTCCAAATGCAGTGATGTATATAGCTGTGAATGTGGGTCTAGAAAATTATACCGATGCATGGTGTGGGATCTGTTAGAAAACAATGCAAATGAAACATAAAAATATTTCAGTTCATATTCTCCTTTGTAAGAAAACATTAATAATATAGAAAGGAATATCTTATGGCAGCTTATGGTACTTCTTATGACAACTCCAAGATGTTAACAAAGAGGGTATGAGAAATTTTTCGATAAAGGATTAACTAAGATCTTTCATATTACTATTTATGTTTTAAGAAATCTTCTGGAAAACATAATGATAAATGCCATTTAAAGACAACTAAAGTATAGTTGGTACAGAAAAGAGCATGAGTCCAAATGCATCTTATAGATTGGTACAATTTTTTAGCAAGTCTGAAGTCTCTCATATTCTTAACAGCACCATAAAACCGAGTGATCAGCATTGACAGTTCATTCACGTTTTCACAGCTCTTGGAATTTTGCATGACACTCTTTACTTCCATTTAACTATTTTAGACTGATGTACACTCAGTGGGCCCCATCCAGCCAAAGTACAGATAGCAATTCCCCATGCCCTTGATATCATTGGAGAGACTTGACCATGTGCTCATGGCTCCTACTGAAGCCATTGATACCAGACAACAAAATCCCATGTCAGTCTGCCGAAGACTTGGTCTTATCCCCTGCATAGCATGTTTATGATGACAGAATGAGAAGGCTTAATTTTAGCTGGACTGGATATGTTTAAGTTTAAGAGGGGGAAAAAATTGGCTGAAAGCCTGTTCCGTAATTTAGGATGATATATCATAAGCTGTAGCAATTTTTCAGAAATAAAAAAATATCTGATTCCTCCACCTTCTGAAGGTCATGGAGCTCCTGTGAGATCCTCTTCATTGTGGAGAATCTGTTGCGGGGGCAGAATGGAGGGCATCTATAATTTCTGAACATGCTTACTAGTGCCAGTAAAATCCCACGGATGGCTACATTTAGAAAGTAAAGACTTCTTCTGTGGCCCTTCTTCAGCTTCCCCATGATGAAAGGAATCCCACAGGAGCCCCCCAGACCTTCAGGGCAATGAGATTTTTTAATTTCCATGGCTGTTCATGATGTTATCAGCCTTATATGGTGTAGATCTACAAACAGAATTTCTGCCACTCTGTCTGAGAGACAACATTAAGTGAAACAGTCCACGTATCTTTTCATCTCTCTCTCATTCTGCACTGTCAATAGAAAGGACAAAAGTAGGTAATGAACCAAAGGATGCTAGAAATGACAGGGTGGGAAAAACAAGGTTTACAACACTGTTTCACAGTCTTCAGCCCCCAGATGGTGGCTGACATCATCAGCTAAAAAATATTAACTTTTCCTTGCTCCACTCCTGTTTACCGAAGAGCCCAAGAAACATACAGAAATGCTTGGGAGATGTCTACACCTACTCAAAAAGAGATGCTTAAAGACCCATCAATTCCACAGGAAAGTATGATGATAAACTTTTGTCAAAGAACTGTATAACAGAAGCCCCCCACAAAAGTCTGAGTGTAAAATAAGATGCTTTTGTAGTTTGGTGCATGTTGAAAGGAGGGGGGGATGAGAGGAGAATGAGATGCAGCGAACACTTCATATACAGGTGATTCCCAACCTGTTAAAACTTTTTAAAATTCAAAATGCAGGCTAAGAAGAGTTTCATAGTTAAGCCAAAGTTTTTCCTTAAGACTACTTTGCAGAATACTGAAAGGCAAACAGAATATCTTTTGTCATTGCTTAGGAACATTTGGACAAGGACAAATGATGTGGAATGAAAAAACAAACAGCAAGAACTCTGAAACTGATATCCTACGGTATAGACACAGGGAGAGAACAAGGGACTTTACCTAATGTGTTGACAGTACATGCTACATAATTGAAGGCTCTTCCTCACAAAAACTGCTCTCCCTCAGGCCATGTCATAACACAGCCAATCAAATCTGGTGATGGGATCACTAAAGGAAAGAAAGCCCCTCCCTCCCATTAACAGTATTTTGAATGGAAAGGAGCAAGAGGGTACACATGAGTCAGTACAGCCAGGCAGTGCTCTCCGTTTTGCTGAAGAGTTAAAGGTAAAGGTAAAGGTTCCCCTTGACATTTTTAGTCCAGTCGTGTCTGACTCTAGGGGGCGGTGCTCATCCTGTTTTTCAAGCCATAGAGCCAGCGCTTGTCCGAAGACAGTTTCCATTGTCACATGGCCAGCGTGACTAGGGAACGCCATTTTACCTTCCCACCGAGGTGGTACCTATTTATCTACTCGCATTTGCATGCTTTCGAACTGCTAGGTTGGCGAGGAGCTGGGACAAAGTGATCGGAGCTCATTCCGTCGTGTGGATTCGATCTTTCGACTGCTGGTCTTTTGACCTTGCAGCACACAAAGGCTTCTGCAGTTTAGCCCACAGCGCTGCAACGTAGGTAAACCTAATACAATTATCAATATTATTTGGGTTGTTCTTGTCAAACTCTAGATTAAATACATCCCCAATCAGGATAGAAAAAAAAATCCCTTCTCCATTGAGCTGCCCTGAGTCTCTCCATGGGGAGAAAACCCAGAGAAAATTAAATAAATATTGCAAATCTCTTGCTCCAAATGTTTTTTTAAAGGCATGTGTGGCTTCAGTTGGCAGCAATGGAGCAAGGAAGAGTCAGCTAACTGTTGATTCAAGAGCTATAGAACATATGCCTCTCAACTGTGTGAAAAATGGGGGGGGGGCACTCTTCCAGTGTTATTAACTACAAAAATTGTCTGCTCTGATCCACAGTTGCTATGTTTTGCTTTGATAAGGAAGTCTGTGTCTGTCTGTCTGTCTGTCTGTTTGTGCACCTGACTATCTGTGGAAACCTAGAAAAATGTGCCTTGTTAATCACAGCAGATACAGAATCACTGTTCCTCAGCTTTTGGCCCTATAGAAAGAGGTGTTGCACAGTCAGTCCTTCAATGTGACAACTGTAATAAGCTACAGTCATGGCCAGCAGAAATCTATTGCAAAGCTGCACTCCAAATTAAAGGCTGCAGGCTTCAGGCACCAAAGGAAAAGAAGGTGGAGGGGGGAAAAGATTGAGAAAAATATATATATATATTTTGCTACCAGTATAACACTTCTTCATGTTTGGGTACAATATCCTCAGATTGCTTTTCTTCTTCCCTTTGATGGATAGCAACCTTGGATTACAAATGCTACATTTCCCTGAAGTGGAAGAAAAAGCTGTAATATCTAAATAAATAAACAGCACTTGATGTACTGCCAAATCTGGGTTTTTTTCCCCTCCAAGGTCTAGGAAAGTGGTCATTATAATTATGAATAAATTCATGCAGGGTGTATTTCTTTCCTTGTAGACTAATATCATTCCTTTTGGGAAGCCAAAGGCTTGGCTACGTAGGCCACTGTGTAGTGCAGATCGACCAGCTAAGGGGGCCACAAGATTTGGCAGATGGCCTACTTACATCAGTGGAATGCCAAAGGACTTGCTGCCATTGCCGGATCTTCTGGAAGAACAGCAGAAATGGGTCGGCACTGTGGGTGGGACAGTAGTGACACAGGGAAGCAGACATTCACACTGTACCATATACCTTTTCGATCCATGGCAACACAGCTGTTGAAGGACAAACTTGACACAAGCTCCAGATGAGACACAAAAGGAAATCTGGAAATGATCTCTCTCTCTCTCTCTCTCTCTCTCTCTCAACAGTAGTGCTAGGTCCATCGTAGCTACAGTGCCACAGACTCTGTGTCTCCTCTATACAGAGCCAACCTGTGTGGCCTTGGAGAAACAGCAGAGTCCCCGGGTGGCCCCAGAACAAGGAAATGGTAACCCACTTCTGAATACTCTGTACCTAGAAAACCCTGGCAAGGGTTACTATAAGTCAAAATTGACTTGATGGCGTCTAATTATTATTAACAAGATCCACAGAGAACATTGGGTATGGCTGTACTGCAGCCAAAGCTGTGCTCACGACCCGGGGTTCAATTCCCAGGTAGGCGGCTCAAGGTTGACTCAGCCTTCTATCCTTCCGAGGTCAGTAAAATGAGTAGCCAGCTTGCTGGGGGGGGGCAATGTGTAGCCTGCATAATTAACATGTAAACCGCCCAGAGAATGCTTGAAGCTATGGGGCAGTATATAAGCAGTACGCTTTGCTTTTGTTTGCATTATTCAATTAGCCTTATGGTACAAGGCTGAAACATTTCAAATGAAAAGATCCTAAGAGTGGCTGGGTGTGGTGTAGTGGGGTGTCATCTTTGCATCCAAAGGGTAGATTAGCACAACACTAGATGCCATACTGAGGTCCCTTCTCTGTTCTAGAACACTGAATTTTCACTTCCTGGAAGTATTGTTTGAATCTACTTGGGAATCAGTAAGTTATAAAAGGGGGATGGCAGGGAGACAAGGTTATAAGGAAGCGGGGAAGGAAAGCAAGGGGAAGAGTTTAGAAGGGGTGGGTGGGAAATAGGATTTTCAAAATCACTCTCTTCAAAGCTCAAAATAGGGATGGGTGAGAGAAGAGTGAAATAAAGGATAAGATATTTTATCTTTTTCTTGGGAACGGGGATCTGGTAAGCCTTTAATGACAATTTATTCTAAACTTAATTGTTCAAAAATGGTCATATTCTCAATTTAAACTTAGCTGAATTAGGTTTTGGCTCATAAACAGTTTACTAAATAGTTAATGCTTCCTACAAACTCTCCCATCTCTAGGTAGGACTTGATCAATGTGTTCCTCAGACTCTGCTTTAACATTTCCTTTCTGCAGTGGTGCTAGACGAGCAGAGGTTCAGATCATGCTATGGATTCTCTGCCTGAAACTAAACCATCGGGGGCATGTTGGTATTGAAAGTTCATTAGCTGCCTCCATGAGATATGTAGGTGACGGCAGTACAGTCCTTAACTGGTGGACAATGACAGAATTTCCAGTGTTTGGAACCTGCAGCTAGCAGAAAATAATAATACATAGGCTACATTGAATTAACTCCACTGGCTTCTGAGCTTAATGGAAGATGCTGGTTTTGATCAATAAAGCCCTGAACTGCTTGGGGCCAGGATATATGAAATAATGTCTCCATCTGTATGAATTTGTCTGGAGACTGAGTTCCTCAAAAAGGCCCTGTTGCTTGTTCCACCACTCTTGAGACAAGGTTGGTGGGTACATGAGATATAGCGTTATTTCTATGAACACTCTTTGGAAGTACATCTCAGGCAAAGTTAGGCTGGCTCAGTCTTAATGAAGGAGTACTGCAGTACTGCACCAAAAACTCTGCTCACAGTTCAGGTTTAATCCCCGCTAGCCAACTCAAGACTCACTCAGCCTTCTATTGTTCTGAGATAAATACAGTATCAGGCTTGTGCGGGATGGGTGGGGGTGGGCAGGCAATGTTTAGCCTTCGTAATTAAATTGTAAACCATCCAGAGAGTATTCGCCAAGGCTTTCACGGCTGGGATCTAATGGTTGTTGTGGGTTTTTTGGGCTCTTTGGCCGTGTTCTGAAGGTTGTTCTTCCTAATGCTGTCCTCTGAAGATGCCGGCCACAGAGACTAGCAAAACTTTAGGAAGAACAATCTTCAGAACATGGCCAAAGAGCCCGAAAAACCCACAACAACCATCCAGAGAGTGCTTAAAGCACTAGAGGGCAGTATATAAGCAGCACGCTTTATCGGCAGCTTAAACAATGATATTTGAAAGGGCCTTTAGTCTTCAGGACTGGTTTTTAAAACTTGCTCTTAGGGAATGTTTCAGATCTGCTTTTGTTTTTAAAAATATTTTAATCTGTTCCATTCTTTTAAACTTGTTTTAAAGCTACTGTAAATTGCTCAGGGAACCCGGTTCTTCTTGTTTTATGTTTTAAATACATGAATAAATTCTGCCTCTGTTATTCTCTTCCCCTAATTCTTGGTGGCATAATGGAAGCATATGTTTCACTCGCATAACAAGAGATGGAGTACAAGACTGCTTTATAACAGACAGCCAACAAGGGTAAATCCACACAAGAAAACTCTTTGTAGGACTGAATTGTAACCTTACAAATACAAATACAAGGAATTATTCAATAGTTAGTCTCTTCTTTTTAAAACCAATAACAGTTTATATTTATGGATGAAGTTATGCATTTAGCATTAACATGTGTACAAATACTAGTGTCATTTTTACTTAAAAATAGTAAAGATACAGTCCGGAGCACATTCATATTGGATCCATTGTCCAGAAAAAAAAAGGGGAGGATATTGTTACCTTTCTCCAAGCACATGTAAGATAAGACAGTTTTCTCATTATCATATTTTTGTTGAATATTCTTTCTAGTTTGGCAAATACAGTAGTTTAGTTCCCAGTTTCTGGCAAAAAAACATTTCTGGAGCCACTAACAGACTGCCAACAAAGAGTATCTTCAGTTCATCACCCTTAGTATCTTGAATTTCATCCAGCAGACTTAATCTCTCTTGCAATTTTGTGTGTGTGAAATTTGCACATTAATTTGATAACCATATCCCTGAATCCTTAGGTTTTAAGGTAACAGATCACAAATACAAAACAAACAATTAGAAAATAAATAATGATTTTTTTAAAAAATTAGGTTGTGGCTCATCCTATGTCAAAAGACTACACTTCCCACCATTCTTGACTATTGGCTCTAAAGCTGATTGAAGCTGAAGGGAGTGGAGCCCAACATCTGGGAGATACAGATTCCCGCCTTTGTTGCACACCCAGTTCAATGCCCACAGAGCCATGTATTCCAGATTATTTTAATTTGGGATTCCTTCAGAGCAACTGTCTTCTACTGTGATTTTAAAGCTATAACTGAGAGTGCACAACTTATTACAGTGTTTGTGCCCAAGACATGATCCACTTTCATCTAATTTTTGCTTAACTATATAACTAGGTAAGATAATTCTACAGCATACGTCTACACACTCAGTGAAACTGCATACAGGACAAACCAATTTGCCTGACAATACATCTGTACCTGCTGCAGCTTGAAAGTTAAATACTGTCAGCTATGATAATGTGACCATAAAAAGCAATGATTAAATCCCATCACAAGACCAGATGTTTCAGTTTCAAGTAGTACACACATCATCAAAAGGTGGGACACAAGTTTTTTTTCACCATAGAGTCTACATATTCTCTCTAGCTCAAAATGACCTTCTTCTGTTTAATCATGTTCATGGTAAACACTTATAATTTAACTGAGCCACCAATCTCATATTAAAACCATTTTTAGAACCTTCTGTTCTAGAGCCAGCTTCTAAAATTATATACATCCAACCACCACATGACAACTGGCAGCTGTACATCTGGGTGGGGTTCTTTCAAAGTTTGGCTTAAACCAGTTGAGAACAACTGGGTAATCCTCAACTTGTTCCATTATGACAAATGTATATTTGGAATAAACATGATCAGTGCAATCCTATGACACTATGAATCTCAAAGATTCTCTTGTCCTCAAATAGTAGGCCTCTGTGTAACGTCTCAACTCTGATTTTCAGCCTTGAAATACCTCAATTTAAGTGTGAAAATCTGGTTATATATAGAATTGTATCAGGAATGGTTATTTGCTTTGAAAATTGTACTATCAAATATGCTATCATAGGCAACATCTTTTTTGCTGCTCTTCATTTTGACTCAATGTGAACACCTTGAACACATGACAATACAAACTTATATCATGTAATACACAAAAATCTATTGGCATATATAGAATAGATGTTCTAAAATGACCATCTGACTACAATAGCTGAAAACCTGTTGCTTTGTTACATAGGCAGAAGACAAATGTGACAACATGCACTTGCTTCCAGCAGGCAATTTTATGGATTCTTCAGCATGCACAAAACCAGCAGGTGTGTGTGTGTCCCTTGATAATCATACCAGCAACTATTCAATTGTCAGTGAGTAAATGTTGCACCATTGGCTTTCTGCCTCCTTATCTGTGGAACAGGATCTTAGCCAGCATTTGGTGCTTCCTACAAAAAAGAACAACTTTTCTCCCTTATTATTAGTGCTATCCTAATGTCAATAGAATATCATATTGTCTTTATCTTAAATATATAGTTTCTATTTAGCAGCAGTAAATATTGTTCTCAAGGTATTGTCATCTAGGTTATTCTGATTTTGGACTTAGTCACTCTAAACCAGTGGTTTCCAAACTTGGGTCGCAAGCTTGGAATGTTCTTGGACTAAAACTCCCTGAAGCCTTCACCACTAGCTGTGCTAGGCAGGATTCCTGGGGGTTTTAGTCCAAAAACATCTGAGGACCCAAGATTGAACACATGTGGTTTTTTAAAAAAGAAATAATAATTCTTTTAACAAAAGAAACATAAATAAAAACCCTAGAAATGCTTCTTTTCAAAAACTAGGCAGTCACCTCTGGCTTTGCTTGGAGGGGCTGACACTAAGAGGCTGGGGACATCTTGGGTACATAAAAATGGACCCTATACCTCTGGGGTTTGGCCTCCACTCTCTTATATAGAAGATCAAGGACCTAGCCAGACCTCAGAAGACAAGGCACGGCTTTATGTGAAAGTGACTCAAGTCTCAATGAATTAATCTGAGTCCTTAGTGAACCAAGCACTTGTTAAATGACACAAACTGTTTCTTTTCCCAGGGAAGCTTGCTCACCACTAAAATTATGCTAAGAGGCTGAAGACCTACAAGGAAGACACAGACAAGACAGTCTCCTTATCTGCAGAATGTGTGCAGTGCACGGGCTTGTGTAGTTTGCAACCTTTTGTGCATTCACATACAGCTCATGGTCCGGCACTACTTCAGTGTAATTTAACAGAACTAAACAGCTCTTCCCACTCTCCACTGATACTTCACCTGTGAGGTAGGTATTATGTGAAGAATTGATAAAGTAATGAGACAAGGGCTGGCCCATATCTTCATTCAGATCCAGTTTTTCAGGTGGAACCACTCCATTCTCCTCTCCACTCAAATAGCTCATAAATCCATCCACTGATATCTGCCCTGGGAGGAAGGAAAGAAATTCAAGAAAGAGACTTTATTTTCAGGTACTCATTTGCCTTGCATCAACTCATTCAGATTCTCATTTTTAAAGAGCAACATTTAATACATTACTCATTATATTAGCATTGAGTGTCAACACCAGGCTTCCATTGACCCTTACCTACAGACTGATCTTGAAACACAAAGCAGTGGTAAAACAGCAATGGGGAACCTGTGACTATACCATTGGATTACATTTCCCATTAGCCGCTTCCTCCATAATACTGTGCTGAAGGATGATGCAAATTGAAGACCAACCAAATATCTAGCCAGCCACATGTGCCCCATTCCTTAAAAATAGATAGCAAAGAGACTCTTGTTGTTATTATTCAATAAAGTTTTGATAGAAAGTGAGTGACCCAAGAACATCCATCACATTAGTTTATTGCAAAATTCAATCTGACTTGGTGCAGACAAAATAGTACAGAACTGCAGGAGAGTAGAGCAGAGAACCCATTCAGTGAACAATCCACAAATACTGTTGGCCAGTGAAAAAGACCAAAGAGGGAGGAAACGAGTGTGGAGTGGAAGTAGAAAACGAGTGTGGAGTGGAAGTAGACTGAATCCGAAAAACATTAATTAAGTACTATGCCACTGTATGTGAACCTAAGAACTGGGTGAATACGTCTTTGTGGAGAGTTTCTGTGCACACATGTGGACAGAAGAAAGAGAGAGGAAGGAAGGAAGGTGTGAAGGGAGTGTGTATGAGTATCATACATGAAGCCCATGTCATACCATGTCTGGAAGAAATTTATAAATTAATATCAGAAAAAGAGTTTAGCTATAATTCCAAATTCCTATCTATTCATGGGATCTCGATCAAGGCTATACTTACACATTGCTGAAAAATGAGGTGGGTTGGACCACCTCAGTCTCATTGTTGAATACTCAGCTATACTATACTAAACACTTCCTTGAAAAAGAAAAGTAACACAGCTGGCAAAGACATGGGCTAGAAACCTCCACCCACTGTACTAGACTCTACATAAGTGAGCATGAAAGATGGTCCTTTCCACCCTGTGGTCTCTGAAATGTAAGTCTTTTCCACTACTCTGTGTTCTACCCTGACATGTTGAACAGAAAAGGGTGACAAACCACAACAGCTGTACAATACCACGTTGCACACTTTCTCAATTGTGTAGAGAGAATATGGCAATTTTTCTCTAAGCCTGTCCTTTTAACTGTGCCATTTTTTTCCTCAATCACGATTAAGCAGTGCTGCAAATGTCAGAAAAGGTGAATGCTTGATTGCAGAACAGGAAGACCCAATGTTTTCAACAGTTTTTTTTTAAAAAAAAATAATAACTACTCACACATCAAGGTTGAAAGGAGGTGAAGCTTCATACACACATGTATGTCATAAAAAGATTGTTAATTGCAATCAAGTACGGTGGATAAACTATCCCAACAATTTTCACTTGATAATGAGAATTACTTGAAAATTACTGAATAAGTATGTTGGAGTAACCCTTTCCAAGTATTATAAAAACATTACGAACTCCTACGGGATAATTGGTAACTTCTGAATACATTACTGCCCATGCCAGTTTGGATACTCTGGAAGATTTATTTTTTTAAGATTATACTTTTTTTCAAGTTTTCTTTCTGAAGTACCAGTTATTTCCTGGATCCTGGTTAAGATCCCAGTCTACATTTCAGCAGTCAGAGCAAGAACAGTGAAGCAACCTGAGAACAGTGAAGCAACCTCCGTGGAAGTTTTGGATCAGATTTCAGTGTTCCTTTTCAAACAGAAGAAGAAACCTTTCTACAAATGGGCAATCAAGCCCTGCCAGTCACAGGGAAGATTTACTTTTATATTATTAGAATTCCGGTAAGGTTCTGATAGTCATGTTTCCAGTGACAACAGTGCAATCCTAATGTCCTCCATATGGTCATATTATTAATAGAATGGCTTCTGTCAACTCCAATTGGTTTCTTTCCAGATATGACGTCAAAAGAGCAAATAGGAACATTCAGTGAATATACAATGAGACAGAGGAACAAAGTTTTAAGATAATATTTCCAGAAAGTATAAAGGGTTCAGTGATTATGCTAGATAGTGATAATATATGACTAAATATATCAAATAATGATAGAATAAAGTCTGCAAGAAATCATCTGTATTTACACCTTTTCTTCCTAACCTCATACGCAGCTGAACAGAGCTTGTGCTGAAATCTCCTTTCATAACCCAGTTCAGGGGGAGAAAAAAAGTGGCATATTATGAAGAAAGCTGCCAGCTTTTATTTCTTCTTCCACCTGTGATTTCTTTTGCTGTTTTTTTCAATAAGATGTGCACTAGTTAAAAATGGCTCAGGGAATGGACAGCACTAATGGCTAGTCCTTTTGTGAAGTCTAAACTCATTCCTTGTGAACAAAACTACTGAAAAGGAACACTAGTTATTTTTTTCTTCGAAACAATATGCTAGAGCTCTTTTATCTACTACAGTATTTCAAAAGGAAGCAGATCAATGGAACGGAAAGCAACAAGGTGGGCCTTTTCCCCATGCAGTGGTTCTGCTCCTGAAAATGTAGAAAATGGTCTTGACAATAGCTCTGTTAAGAAGCTCTCCCCATCCCAATGAATTAGCATTATGTGAGGGGCACATACACTGCTTCCCACTAATCAGGAAAACAAAGCTGTACATTTTGGAGCCTTCATGTGGAAGCACTTTAGAAATTGGGGGTGGGGTGGGGGGAAGAGTTGTAACCCACAAGGGGAACTTCCAGAAGAAACAAAATCTCCCTGCTGCAGAACTGTTTCCTTTCCAACATGCAGAGAGCAAGAATGAATGGACAGGGTGGTGTGACTGAAGAACTTGTGTGGTCATCCCCACTCTATCCCTCATTGCATAAGAGTATATACACTGAACCCATCGCATTAAAGCAAAGAAACTTTTTAAAAGAATGGGTGTCAAACATTTTTAAACAAACGTATCACATCAGCACAGCTTATATTGAGCTTCACTTTGGAGTATTGTAATTGGGGGGGGGGAAACATAAAATGTGTGTAGATATACTTATTGTGTGGACATCATGTGTGCAAAAAAAAAAAATGACTGCAAACGGCTCTAACATCTAAAAGTGTGACAGACTTTTTCATTTATATATTGATGCTATATGACTCAAGGAGAGAGGCCAATAACTGTGATTTCATGCTGAGATGTGTGCAAAAAAAAATAAATAACTGCAAACGGCTCTAACATCTAAAACTGTGACAGACTTTTTCATTTAAAATATTTATATCCCACCCTTCTCCTTAAAAAGGACCCAAGGTGGCTTATGGTATTAAAAAACAAATAGAATTAAGAGTTAATGTTGTTATTACAAATGTTAAAAAAGAATTTAAAATATAATATTTAAAACTAGTACATAAAAATAGTACTAAAAATACAGCACTGAAAACAACAAAAATGCAACAGTCCTATTTTATATCAAACCCACCCAGCCATCATGAAGGGGAAGCTTGCCTGCCGAGAAAGGTGTTTGCCAAGCCTGGCCTCCAGTGGGAGGGAGTTCCAAAGTCTGGGAGCAGCAACAGAAGAGGCCCTCTACCATGTCCCCAAGAAACACACCTGTAAAGGTGGTGGGACTAAGGGAAAGGCCTCCCTGTGGGACCAAGTGAAAGATGATTTTAAGCAGCAGGCTCAGAAAGGGAGATGCAGTCTTTGAGATAGTACAGTAGATCATGTTCATTGTGATTTCTCAACTTATGGCAATTCACATCTACACTGTCTTTGTTGTGTTGGCATAAAACCCCAAAAGGATTTGGCCATTAAAATTAACACTGTTGTTAAAATGAGCTGACCTACACTGAAATAAATTAACACCTATGAAAACATTCACAGTGCTCACTGTCAGAGTTTTCTGCTACACATTTGATGTAGACACACGTAGCTGTCCTTCCGTAGGCGGACAAAGACCCTTTCCCTCCAAAACACCTTTAGTAAATAACTGGTTGCTAAGGAGGGTTTTTTTTAAAATGGAGGATGCTGTATCTTTTACCTTGTTTTATGAGCTTTCAAATGGTTTAAAACTATTTTTGTTCAATAGATTTAACATATATACAATACAAATTTATTCTACCGCCAAAAGCCTGTTTAATATACTGTATATATAGCATGCTTAATTGTATTATTGCATACATTACAAATAATATGCCAATTCATATTGTAATCCATTGAATTTTAGACTGTCTTATATATCTTTTAAATATTTTTATAAGCCACTTTGAGACAGGTTCTTGAGAAAAATAAAAAATGCATGGATGGATGAAGTCTAACAAGTACATAAGGCAAACTCTACTGGATATTCCTGATATGTCCCCGAGGCTGCACGAGTATAGCCAGTATCAATATACTTTTTATGTTAATATAATAGAAACACAATCTACCTGTACAATAAAAGATTCTAATATTCCTTTCCTAAATTCTATGGCCAATGGCAATACAGAAAACCAGGAGTTGAAGTGTTTTGGCAAAGTCTCAGTTGGTGTAACCTGCTCTTTCTTAACAACAGCTAGAAGGTGCCGTACATACACAAACCTAAGGGAAACTCTAGCTTAGTAGTACTCCTGTGTTCTGTCACAATGATAAACACATGTATGTATATTTAACATCAATTAAGGCACAAGGCACATAGATCAATGTCTATCAATACGGGGGGAGGGGACACACATTAAATTAGCAACATACTGCTAAATTTGGTTTCTACTCCAGTAATCTATTTTTGGCTCCCACAGATCTATTCAGTGTAAGAATAATCCTTCAACTACACAAGGGACGTGACTGCTGACTCCACTCCTTTCCTTGCCTGATAGATCTCTATTAAGATGCTGCTGACCACTTCACTGAGCCTACGCTTGGCTCTTCTGCACATTACTAAGTAACAGAATTTACCCTCTCTCAAAGAGGGAGAAACCCCCTCTGTGCCTCCCCAAGAAATGCAATCTGCTTTCATCA